AAATTTAGAAAAAATATAAATTAACATAGACATAAAATTCGAGTTATCTTAATTTAAAACATAAATTTATAAAACAATTAAACCATAGATCTAAAAAAAATTAGAATAAGTTACTTGAAATTAGTTTTAAAAAAAATTGAAAAAATAGTTAGCATTAAAAGGCAAACATCTCTCTCTCTCTCTCTCTCTCTCTCTCTCTCTCTCATACACATAAGTGTGTGTTTAGCGTGTGCTTTTCAAACACGCAACAACGTACAATTTGTGCAAATGGCTACATTGTCGGATATTGCAGTCGTCTTGGTGCTACAGTTGCTTCTCTACGGCAGAATCACGGCGGCAACATGGTGCGTGGCGAGAAGCGACGCCTCAGAGGACTTATTGCAGATGGCATTAGACTATGCTTGCGGTGCCGGAGCAGATTGCTTGCCGATACAAGAATCCGGTCCGTGTTTTCTTCCAAACACTGTTCAGGCGCATGCTTCCTACGCTTTCAACAGTTATTATATGCGTACTTCCATGGCTGCCGGCTCCTGTGACTTCTCCAGCACCGCCACCATCGCCAAAACTGATCCCAGTTAGTGCAAATTTACCATTTTCTCCCCTTCACAAACACAAATAATAATATCGGTTTCTTAACCTAAAATTCTTTTTTGGGGTACTTTTGTCCTTTTAGGTTATGGATTATGCGTTTATCCGGCCTCTCCAAGGTATTATTGTCACCTCCTCTTTTTACAATTTCCACGTCACATTTTATCTTGAAAAAACGAATAATAATCATAATAATTACTTGGACTTTTTTGGTGCTCTTATTATTTTCTAAATAAAAAAACAAAAAAGATTCAGCATTTATTCATATGCATATTTTGCCTCGGGGGGAGTGGTTGCGTGTGAAAAGGTGTTATTTTGTCCTGTGAGCTTGTACACGTGACATTACGATCTAAGGGGGTTGTTTTTTGGATTCTTTTTAGCCGTTCGATTGGCTTGACCTCACTTTTTTCTTGAACATTGACCCCACATACTCTTTGACCGGTCCTGCTTCCATATTTATCAGTTCATCTGTTACATGTTTATATAAACCAGACGGTTACATTTCCTTCGGAATTTGGTACAAGTTTCTCATGTATGCACATATATAATTTTACATATTTTTGGTATCGGCAAATCATGGTGTGAGAAGTAAAGTTAAGGGGAAAAGCGTAAAAAGAGATTGATCTGTTGATCTCGGTGCTTCTCATTGCGGTGAATCTCATCCTAATATGCATCCAACGGTGTAAACCCCTTTTGACTATTCTCATTTAACTCTCTTTCTCACCGGACCGAACCCTGTTTATATATACATAGGGATGTTTTCAAATGAGAATTTGATATATTGTGATAATCGTGAGAAGTTTTACTGTAGCACCGCTGGAGAGATGGCAAGTCCAGTTTCATTAGGTAATGGTGCATCGCCTCCATCACAAAATGCCATAGCATTGGGTGGCAACGGAGCAGCAGCAACCCCGAAAAACGTGGTCGATGGCAACCCACCTGCTTCTTCTCGAGCCTTTATGATCTCAACATCCTTGTTTATGGGTATCATGTTTATGGGTTTCTTGTTTATGTTCCCGGCAATGGACATATGATTGATCTTGTTTAATTTAGAAGTAGATGATTTAATATAGTTTCGAGTTTTAAATTCAATGTGTAGCGTACATACATATCTCCTGCTTTTAGTTACGTTTTATTGGAAAAAGGAATAACGGATCGTTAGGTCAAGTGTTGGTTCAAAACTTAATGGTAACATAAAACGTCTTCTATAAAAATAAGTTCTCAGAAATGGAAATTACAACATTAGAATATATAAATTCATCATTTTTTTTTCTTTCAAATTTTTAATACAATGAGAAAACTTTAATGAAAATAATAATAAATTCAACTTCATCAGTGAAAACAATTAAAATTTTGATATTTTTTTTCTCGTCAACATTGAGTTGTAAAGATTTCTACAAATTTGAAGATTTATAAAATTTATTTATTATTTTCTATTTTAGAGTACAAAATAATCTTCAAAATCTTTGCTTTTTGAGTATCTACTTTAATACTCTTTTAACTAAGTTTTTCATTATAATGAAATTAGGGTGCTTAGTGGTTAAGGAAGGTTCATAATACAAAATCATTTAGAGGGTTTTAGAATCATTAAGAGACAAATTTTTTTGTTGTCACATAAGATTCACCTCTTAACGATTCAAATACTACCTCTTAATGAAACTATTAATAAGTAAACAAACAACCCCTTAAAGTTAGAGGTGGTGCTTTCATTTACATTTTGGTTGTTAAAAGTTGTATTTTAGTATTTTTGTATTAAATGTTTAGATCTGTTTTTTAAATGTTTGGTGTTTTCAAAAACAAGACAATATATTAAAAAGAAGTCAAAAGAATTAAAAGGAGAATTAATTACAGATTCTATAAGATATCATCATTTTTTAAAGAAAGAAATATACGATAAAAATAACGAGAAAACCATAACGAAAAGAAGAAGCTGAACCAAAAAGAAAATAATTTATTTTAAATAATTGTATTTTTTTTAAGACAAAAGTATTCCTATTACGAAAGAATAAGATATAAACGTTATTTTTGCATTAAATTGCATTATTTGTTCAAATTTTCATTTTAAATTTTCAAATTAATTTTTATTTCGGATCCACAAATAAATTATTTTCGTATTTTTCAACAAAAAGGTATTTTTGTATTTTCTTTTGCAATGCATACAATATTATATAATTTTTAGATTAAAGTTCACTTTTGGTCCTTAATGTTTGTCAATTTTAACAGTTTTCGTCCCTCAACTTTATTTTAACATGTTTGTCCCTCACGTTTGACGCCTCACAACGATTTTCTTCCCTCCCATTAATGGCCATTAACCTTTTCAGTTAAATCCATAGGGTATTTTAGTCATTTTATCCGTTTTCTTAATTTTCTTGTTTTTATAAAAAAAATCAAAACTTTAGAGACGTTATGTAATTAACTATTATATATATAGGGGAGCGATCAAATGCAAACCACTCAATTTGTACAAACCGTGCAAACCTCATTCAATCAATCATAATTTTTCATTTTGTTCATTTGTTTATAATTATGATAGGTTGATTAATCATTTTTATTGTGGAGGGTGTTAATCATAGATATTATCATCTTCATTATTTTAATTTTTAGAAAAATACATGAAACAGTTTCATTAATTTTAGAGAAATACATGAAACAGTTTCATTAAGTATTATATGAAACAATTTCACAAACATATATGAAACAACTTGATCAAAAAAAATATTATATGAAACAATTTCACAAGATTAAACAATTTCATGAAAAAATTTCATAAGATTAAACAATGAAATCGACGGATGAAGGTGGTTTGCACGGTTTACACAAATGAGAGCGGTTTTTATTTGATCACTCCTCTATATATATATATATATATATATATGTATGTATATATATATATATATGTGTGTGTGTGTGTGTGTGTATTATATAGAGGCTTATTCAAGAGAAAACTGATTAGTTTGTGGTAATCGTGAGATCCAATATGAACCACTTATTTGAGATATTTAAGGATATTTCTTAAATAAACTAAACGAGTAATATAAGAATTATATTTTTGACAACTAATCAAAATATTTAATTAAATTTTTAGAGGAAAATATTTAATTAAAGTTAGTTACCTAGTATATCAATTATTTAATGTACATTGTATTTTAAAAACGTTTATGAATCAAAGTGTATCATATTGATAATGTTCACAATGTTTTCACGTGTATCACAATGTATTTTTTTTTGTTTTATGAAATGTATATCATATTGTGCATTTTCGTTATTTTCATTGTTTTACAATGTGTATCACATTGTGCATCTTATATGTATATCTGCATATCACAGTGAATATTGTTTGTAAGTATCACAATGTGTATCTTGTGTTCACATAAGGTTCATCGGAATAAGGTTCGCGAATAAAATTCGCCGGAGAGATGAAAATGGAGATATGAGAGAGGATATTTATAAAATCTCTAAAATGCTCTTAATTAATATTTTAAGTTAAAATTATCAAAATTATTAATTTCTTAATTTAACATTTGATTTGTGGTTGAGATTGAATCTCACGATTATCATAAACAAACAGTTCTCATTTGATTAAGTTTATATATATAACAATCAAATACAAACCGCTCCCTTTTGTACAAACCCTACAAACCAATCTCGTCAATCTATTTTCATGATCAAATGTCATTATTAAAAAGAGTTATTTTAGTAAAGTAAAAAATAGAAAAAATAAAATTATTTTTTTTATCCAAGAAAGGGCAAAACTAGAAAAAGTTTTAAAAGTTTCAACCCGTTGAAATATTCTTTCCCCGTATTCAATCCCATTTCTTCAGATTAATCATCATTAATCGCATTAAAAGTTTTAGCCCATTGAAATCTCAAGATGAAATGATACGATTTTATACAACCTACAACTATCTCAATCCAAATTATTTGTATAAATTGGCAAATGAGAGAACAAAATCATGGATATCAACATTAATGAAACAAAATCAGAGCTTTAAAATCTATATATATTATTTTATTATTAGAATGGTTTTAACCAAAAATGTTAGGAAATCATATATTCAACAAAAAATTTCTTTATTTTATGAGTAAATATTATAATTAAATAAATTCCACATTAAAAATAGAGTTACCTAGAAACTATAAAATGAGAGATATTTTAATAAATAATGAAACATAAAAATATTCTTTAATCAATAAAGAATGAAACATTTTGAAAACTGAATAATATGATTTCATTAGTAAAATTGGTTTCATAAATGAATTTTTTTGAAAACTGAATAACATGATTTCATTAGTGAAATTGGTTTCATGGTTCCCAATCAAAATGAATTTGATTTATTAATGAAACTAAATATGGTTCAGTCAATATAACATTTTCTGAAAACTGAATAATATGATTTCATTAGTGAAATTGGTTTCATTAATGAAACATTTTGAAATTTAGATGACATGATTTCATTGGTGAAATTGGTTTCATGTTTCCTAACCAAGATGAAACTGGTTTCTAACCAAAATGAAATTGAGTTTATTAATAAAACTAAATATGATTCAGTTAATGGAACATTTTAAAAATTGAATAATATAATTTCATTAATGAAATTAGTTTCATGAATAAAATATATTGAAAACTAGATAACATAATTACATTAATGAAATTTTGTAAGGAAATCAACTTATTCATGAATTTTATAATTGAAACAAAACAATTTACTCAAAATCTGGAAAATATCACAATTTAATAAATTTGAAAAGATTTGTAAATTGAAAAAAATATTGATTTCTTTTGTTATTATGAAAATGAAATAAATAAATTCCTAAGAAAAAGATGATTATAAATAAACTCTGAAATTGACGGATTATTTTTATTTGATAGAATAATACAAAATATTAATGTTTGTAAGTATATATTATAAAGTCAAAAGACAATCATACTCCTATGCATTAAAATAAAAGAAAAAATGGAATTATGTTACTGGTTGATACTAGTATGTATGAAATGAATGGTTTTCAAAGCAAACCAAATCTCTCTCTCTTTCTCTCTCTATTATATATATATATATAGGGGCCTATTCAAGGGAAAACCGAGTTGTTTGTGGTAACTGTGAGAACCAATATTAACCACAAATCAATAGATAAATTAAGAAATTTATAAATTTGGTAATTTTAAATTAAAATCTTAATGCAAGGATATTTTTGGTATTTTAAAACTCTCATCTCTCCTCTCTCATCTCTTCTCTCTCCGGCCATCGTTCTCCGGCCTCCGGTCACCGTCCTCCGGTGATACCACTATGATACCACTGTGATACCTAAAAATATTGACTTTGTTAAACAAAAGATACATTGTGATACCTAATCATATATAAGATGCATAGTGATACCATTGTGTTACATCTTCGATCGATCACACAAACGACATCAATGTGATACCCAATC